GAAAACGCCCATGCAGTCAGTCCGTTTGCCTGGAATCGAACCCGGGTCAGTACACCAGAGTTCAGAGATTTATCGCGGTGTCGGTGGAAAACACCTTAGAAGATGTTTAGTTCTTTCAACTGTTTAAGATTTTTGCACTATCTTGAGGATATACTGAGATGTGACATTAAGCACTCGTGAGGATGTGTTAGGGGAATATTCTGGGATGTTTTAATATATGGTAGGTTGAATTTTAAAAGCCTATTATCTCGGACATTTTGTGTTTGGGGGATATACTGGGATGCGACAATAAGCACCTGGAAAGATGTGTCAGGAGGATAGTAAGGGATACTTTAATGTGTTGAGGATATGATATTTTAAGTTTGCTATTAATCTGTAAACTAAATTGAATTTCGCAGAGTCTACTTGACAAATTATCGACTAATTGCTAAGTCTGAAATATTATGATAAAGTTTTGAGAAAATTTTAATAACTTTTTATTTAATTTGAACTTTTGACATAAAAGGCACAACTTGCGCTTCAGAGGAACCCTCACCTAAAGCGTTGTTAATTAAGCAATAAAGGTAATTCAAATTAATCCCTGAAAATGTAGTCTAAGACTACGCAGGCAAACAAATGAGCTACAAGCTGGCATATTTTTTTACCGGTGCCTAAATTTAAAATATTGGCTAGCGAGAGAAGGCCAAAAAACAGAATAATCATTTTTAGATAGAGTTGGGCAAGCAATTCTTACAGCGCGGCTCAAGTGCCATAAACTTTCTCTTTCTAAGATTCAAAACCATCAACTTATATACTCTCAAATTAAATGATTATGCATAAACTAGGAAATGATTAAGCATTAACTAACAAATGACTACTAGTAAATGATTAAGCATAAATTCTGTTTTCTATTCATAACGGGGTCTAGCAACACGGTTCGTACACTTTGGTTAAGAGTTATAACATGCAAAATCGATCTCGGTAAACATGACACAAATATCGCCGCATAATTGAGCATTAAATATTGAAATTATGGGATTTCAATTAAGAGACAGCAAATAAAAAGTATTTATTTATAACATTTTTAAACAATATGAGTTTTTTAAAATTTATAAACTATTAAGATTTTAGAGCAAATAAGAGCAATAATAATTTATAATTAATAAAGACTCTCACAAAAGTGATAATACATTTTTATTTTCTGATATTAATATCAAAAATTTAAAATGCACTAAATTGAAACTATAAGACACTGAGGTTCCCATTGAAATATATGCGTATCTAGCCTTCTATTTATGCAAAATATTTTTCTAGAAATAAGATATTAAGTTTAAATAATAATATATTTTCTTTGGAGCAAGAAAATCACATCGCAAAATCGAAAATTATCAAGACTACCCACAAAATAATCTTCAATAAATATAATATGCAAGATTTGCATCCAAGCAACAGGTAATAAGTAAAAAATCACTTCCTTCAATCCGTCAATTAAGGTTTTGTAATATTTATATTATTTCAACATTTTGGTATTATGTCTTATTCGAGAAGGTATACGCGACTAAAATTTCATACATTTGTTCTTAATTTGCAGTCAGGAAAAAACGAAGTCTATTGGAAAACGTGATGAAATCATTTAAGAGTTCTTGTCGCAATAAAATATTATTCAAAGATTACCAGACTTCTGAATGGAAGAAAACATAGATGACACTCAAAAGACACCCCTGAAATACGATTAAATATTGTCCTAAAGTCTTTCTAGCATAAGAAAATTACATTATTACGAGCTGAAAGTCCTCTTGATAGGTAGAAAAAGAAGGTAAGGTTCTCTTGGTAGGAAAAGAAGGGAAGAAGACTAAGAATTCGTTCACTGGAGGCTTTGCTTCAAAACTGGGACGAAGTTGGGTAATTTCTAACTGTCATCCATATGGCGTCCGAGGCGGAAAGCGGTTACTAACGTCACGGATAACCATTTTCCTTTCTGGCCACTGTGAATTCCTTGACTAAATCTAGACTCTGTTTCACAATAACAACAAAAGAATATTGAGAACAACACAGTTTTCGTTAATCACAAAACTAGTATTCGTTAGTTGCAAGACTGTTAAAATAAAAATGATTACAATAGCTGGATCAAAAAGAGGAAAGTTCGTCGTTGGAAGAATAAGGAACATTCAATTTCTTTTTCAGTCTATAAGAAATAATTGTTCTGGATGTTAGAATAAAAAAATTTAAAAAAAGAAAAAAAAAGGGGGGGAAGAAAAAGAATTTGACGAAAGAACTTGCGTTTTCGATTAGGATGGTCAATTTTTAATTTGCGAAAATCAAAGAAAATTTTGAGAGTTGTTGGTTTTAACACTAAGTAAATGGCGGGCGAAGAGTTATGATATATAGAAACATGTTGCTTTAAAAACCATAATCTTGCGTTTCTTGATATTATAGTGGATTATTGACAGATCATTGGCTCAAAGACTGCTCTTGCATGATAACTTAAAATTCTACCAAGATATTGACCTACAGTGAATATGAGGCTCTGAATATTGTATTAAAATCCTAAAATATTCTAGCTACATCCCTAATGGAGCTATAAAGCCTGTATAATGGAGTATAATGTTCGCAAATAAAATGTTTTTGAAAGAACAATTGAAACTGGTGATATAAGACGACTGAAGAAAATTTGGTCCAGAAATGAAATAAAATCTGTTTCAAATCATGCCAAAAACATTAAATCATGTTTTGGACAGCTAAGAGTAATCCAACAATGTATTTAAATAATTCTGAAAAATGTTTCGTGTTTTTATCTGGAAGGATTATAAATGTCTGATGATATTTGTGAGAAAATTTTCTCGTCCGAAAGAGAAAACAGTTTAATTTTTCAGTATTTCATTTTTAGAAAAATATTTGGTGCAAGGAATACCGCTTTGCGTTAGGAAAAATATTTAATGCAAGAAATACGCTAGGTAAAAATGTTTACTTATTAAAGAAAACTACATTTTATAGTTTCAACTCAATGCATTTAAAATTTGGACATTATTTTTGAAATAAAAAATGCCTAATCTGAAGTGTTTCTTTCAAAAAAGTATACTGTGAATACGCTTCTCAAATGTCAATCAAAATAACTTCAGGTTCAGTAAAAATAATCATCAACCAATAAAAAGTTAAAATTGAAATTTGGAAAATAAATTAAAATTATAAGCAAAATTGGAAACTATGATTTATTGCTTACATAGTTTCGCAACAGCAGCATGACTTGCCTGTAATAAAAACATTTTGTTTGCAGTTATTTATACATTCACATTTGTTATAAGTAAAAATTCTTAAAATGAAAGCCCTTAAAAACACACTCAGTTATCTTTTGTAGCAGTGAATAGACACATGGATATGGTCTTTGAACTTTCGAAATACTATATCTTCACTCTAGCACTGTACAAATAAAGCGGTTGGTGAAACTGTAGAAGAAGAATAAAGAAAAGCAAGGAAAAAGAATACCATGCAGACGACACACGACTATTTATTACACGTTTTGCGTCTAAAGCAAGGCCAAATGGTGAGATCAGAGAGTAGCACGCTTTCCTTGTGTCGCAACATTTGTTACGTGCAAAAGAGTCCTGTTCTCTGAATTATGTGACGAAAACACGCTGAAAGAACGAGTTTTATAAGCTCAGAAAATGCTAGTTTGGTAATATGCAAAGCAGTAACTTTTGTGGAGTTCTGCAGCCTAAAATGGCAACAACATTTATTTAGAATTTCTGCGTTTTTGTCAAGATAGAAGGATAATTTCTTTTTATTAGCAATAAATAGCATATTTACTGTAGACAGCACATTTTAGATATTTTCATTAAAACAAACTAGTTTCAAATTAGATAAGAATATATTTTAAAACAGCATAGATTATATTCTGTTTATCACGAAATCATTATCTTGATTTAATTCAGAATATATAATAATTAACTAACACATTTTAAATTAATTTAAATGTAGTAAATTGGTTATGTTAATCAAAAATAATCGAAGTAATTTTAAATAAACTAACTTGTATAAAGAATCTCACAGCAGTGACAAGGTATTTTAGTTTCTGAAAACAACGTCAAAAATTTTAAATGCATAAAATTGAAATCGTTAAACGGGGTTTGACCAAAGCTGTGGTAGCATCAACAATAGTAAGGGTACATTAGCAAAATATTATCAAAGTAAAATAATACTTCTTTCTCAGGAATGTTTACTATTATTTATCGATCACATAAAACTTAAAGTGTTTTAGTTTTCTTTCTAGCTTCTAACTGTTATAAAAATTCCATTCAAACTCCTGCAGTAACTAAATCACAAAATAATTTCAAATTCATGTTCTATATACTGCGGTTTAAAATTGATATTAATTGATCATCATTTCTATTGTTCAAGTTTCAGATTATTTTCAGATGAAACTTAAAGAAGGCGATACTTTCTCAAACTCTGGAAGCATTTCTGCTGAAAATGGTTACTGTTAGCAACTAATATTGTCCTCTTTGTACTTAGAGCCCTATATGTTGTCTTTGAAATTCGAAATGATTGAGGTATAGGAGAAAATTAGCCTTCCTGCACATAAAACGTTTGACTCAGTGCAGCAAAAACCTTTGCGAAACCTCGTCTGAAAAACTGATGCTTGAATTAAGTAACAAATATGAAAATAGGTTCCTCCCCTTTTCTTATTACCAGCTTTTTGTAATCAATTCTACCTGAAAAATAACAGTAGAACCACCGGATATAAAGGAGAAAAATCAAAATAAGAATATATTATGAATTCCTAATAATTTTTGAGAGTCTCATTCACCGGTTATTCTATAGTATCATTCATCGGTTATTTTATAGTATTTAAAAGTTCTTTCTGGCTTCTCACTGTTGCCAGATTTCCTTCAAACTTTTGCGCGGATACTTCGGACGATATACCTAACAGTACATACATTCATATTTTGATTATTATGTGCAGGGTGTTCAAACAGTCCTGACTCATATTATTTAAAAAGTTGACTAATATATTTTTCTTGCAGGGAAAGAGAATCATAATGATCAATGAAGAAAACTTGTTGTTGGCTGTGCAAGACTGAGGACTTAAGCAACACTGAGATTCAAGTCAAATCTAACGAAAGCGAATATCAGATTATTGGTCAAAAACTTCAAAGAAAAAATTTTAGATGAACATCGTGTTCATAAAGGGCATCATCACAGACTGTTAAAAAGATTGAAGAGGCAATTGAGCGTCATTCTAAAAATCTGTTTGTAGATAAAATAGAAATTTTGGTGTTTCGAAGACAATTACTTGAAGAATTTTACTTTATTCCCGTAAGATACATGTCTACCATATTCAGATATTCCATACACTTCATGTAAGGGATTTTGCAATTTTCTTATCTGTGCGAACTGATCTCATTGAACCTGTTTAAGATGAAAGATCTCATAATGTTAAATTTACCAATAAAATTCCATTTTACACGTGTGGAATGCTAATAGACATGTAGAAGCAGGAGCCAACACAACATTTCAGTAAGAAAGAGACTCATCTAAAGTTAATATTTAGCTTGACTTAATTAAAAAGAACTCTTTAGATCAAGTTCTCCGGGAAAACAGAAATATGCAACAACTATTTCGACTTGTTACACATTTTATTATTATCACTTTAAATTTTAGACGATATATAGGGTGTATCAGTACAGCGGTAACAAACGTTCAGGAGAGATAAAGTAGACGATTGGAAATCACATAGCAATGCATGGTCGGAAACGCTTTCCTGGCGCGGTAGTAACGACAAAAAACGCAAAAAAGGAAAGACACAAACAGTGAAAGATAACATGTTTTATTATGTTTAGTACAGCAGAAACCAACAAATAAGAACAAAAACAAACAACGATCGTCATTAATAAAGGTGTTCGAAATTATGACCCCGGACCGTGGTGGACCCTCACCTCTCTGTCGCATGGAAGATCTGCATCACGAATGGAAGATCGCAAAGGAAGATACATGACGCACGGTTCCTTCATCACGGTCGGGGTCATAATGTCGAACACTTTCTTTGATGATGAACGTTGTCTCTTTATGTTGTTACTATTATACGTATTTGAATACTAAACATGTTTCCTCATCCCGTTCTTGTCCTTTCTTTTTTGACGTTTGTGCTGTCACTATCGCGCCAGGAAAGCGTTTCCGACCATGCATTGCTATGTGACTTCCCATCGTCTAAATGTACTTTATCTATCCTGATAATTTGTCACCGCTGTATTGATCCACCCTGTCTATGATACAGATGCAGTTCGGTAAGATGGGAAACCACAATTTACCAACTTTCTTAGTAATTACTATGACAGAGCTCTCCCCAGTTGTGGGGTAGCAGAAGCTCATGAGAAAGATAAATTCAGTATTCTCTAGACATAATATTTGTTGATTTCTTTGCCTAGGATTATATCAAGTCAAAGATACACAAGCGGAAATTATAAAAGTTGATGAACTGAAATTCTGGATTTCAAATGTTGTGTACAAAATTGCACCATCTTTGGCAGGAAAGGCTTTCAGTTCAATTCACGAGGTGAGAAAGCTACATGAAACTGGAAAGGGAATTTGCTAGAATGGTGTTAAAACTGCTTGTGTATGAATTGTTTTTCGTTTCAATAAATATTTGCTTCCGTAAAGCATTGAGATTTATGAAACTTGTTTAAAAAGATTTTAATAATTTCATAAATATATCCAAAAATGTTATTTATACACCGAAGTGCTAGAAAATAATAGTAAAAAGGAACCTAAACAGGTCACATAACAATGTTCCCAACACAGTCCACAAGCTGCGTTTACTGGAGAGTTCCACTGCAAAAATTATGGGTGAAAGCTTCTAGAGCTATTTTAGGCATGAGACAGCCTTGCGATTTCTGTAAATATGAATCATGAGAGAATTGTGCAACGTTCCCAACATGATAGGAGATTTAGGAGCCAACGTGTAACTCAAATATCCTTGAACTTCAGTTATCTGGATTTGCTAACACCGCCATTGGATACTTATGAGTTAAAACTAATGGTCTGATCTGAAAAATCACACTTTTCTATTTCTTTCTAGCAGAAGAAAACTGCATAAAGAAATGCTGTTAAAGAAACTTGATAACCCACAAATTCCACTCTGTCAATAGGATATTGTATAACCTGTTGGTAGATTCGTAACGGGTTTCTTTAGTTGGCCTTGAAACTCCTAGTATGCATGTGATAGGCGAATGCCATGTACAGATCTTTTTTGACGAGTTTTAGTCCTTTATTATTCACTCTTATTTTTCTCTTTCTAGTGGATAAATCACAGGAGTCTAAAAATCGTAAAATCATAGTTAGAGGAACATTCAGAGATCTTGCCATGGTCTTTTATGTTGTTATTTTATCAGAGACATTTTTCATGTCATGCAACGTATAGTAGAACACAGAAATTGTGTACCTCGAAGTATAAAACTATGGATGCTCTGTAGGATCTTTGGTGCAATTATTTGCAAAACATTCTGTAAACTTGAAAAAACAATGTAGTACGGTATTCCAGAAGTTCTACGCTCTAGTGAGCACTTCTTAAGTACTGGACTAGAGCATGTTTTTCCTAGTATTTTAGTACATATATTGTAATTAGCAATAATTACAAAAAATTTCAAAATGCTCCATCAGTTATTTTGAGTTACAAAAGGTTGATTCAATGTAAGTCAATGAAAAGTTCAAAACGGAATTTAAAGTTTTCAAATTAGCAATTCTTTACACCCTTATGAAAATAATACAATATATATATAATTCATAAAGGATAATATATACTATATCAGCTATCATCTGCATTGTCTCTCCTTGTCCAGTCTCCTGATTGCCCTAAATTTATGTTCCATCGATACAAGAACTTTCTTTTCGTCGCCATTCTTTTTGTACTTGCGTAAATTTCAAATTTTAGCACTTCAGTAATACAACAGTGTTTGTCAAATTAGGTGTATCATGCCCAGACTCACACTTCTAGTAACAGACAATAAACAGATCCATACACAGACACGCATGCGTAGTAAGAGATGTTAAACCGATCCATACACAGACACACACGCATAGTAGCAGAGGATAAACAGATTCACAATGATAAACCGCACTGCACTGAATCTGAATGACAGACACGAGTCATAGTGTAGACAGATGCACTAAGCGGTATATTCGGGAACAACAAAAGAAAAAAAGAAATTACAATCACTACTGTTATGTCGTGGAGCAAAAACAATTTTACTTTACACCTGACTGCCACCAGCTCCGACATAGCAATGTGAATATTCTACATCTAAAATTTTAAACACCATTCCAGAATTTAAATTGTTTATTTTATAGAATTCTATTCATATATTTGCAAGTTATACACTATAAACACAATAACAAAATTTGAACTTATCTGCACCAGCGTGAATAAACCTGGCATAATATTCTGAACTCGACGCAACTTTAGGAGGAAAATTACCGCAAATTCAAACACAAGGTTTCATCCTTTCCAACGCAGCTAGTTTTCTAAATATATTTTACTAATATCTGCAGCGGGACAGCGGATTCATTTCATTCACCCAAACCTCAAATGTTTTAACGCAATAGTATCGCAAAGGAAACATCGACTCAAAAAACAAAATATTAAAATCTGTAGAATATCATCCGCTGTTGCCATTCCAACACTGCCAAGTTTTTCTTCCTGCATCTGTTGCCAGACTTATCCTCACTGTATTATGAGATGTACAACAACCACTTTGCAGTTATTGTTGCCGTCTGATGCTTGTATTTGCAATGATTTATCGGATAACAGAGAATGTCAGATAAGGAAGGCTGTGCTTATTTTCTTCAGTTTTCGTATTTGCGAACAAATGTCCTTAAGAATCGATAGTTATCAAAGATTTTATTTGCAGATCCGTAGAATTTCGTAAAATTTATCATAGCTGTGGCAGTTACTATTAATTTACTGTAGTAATATTATTTACTATAGTAGTAGTATATTATTATCATTTCTGGATAGAATTTTAAAATTTCTATCCAAAAATCTGTAGCTGAATATTCGGTAACTTCAACAATGTCAGTTCGATCGTATAACTAATATAAAAAGAACACATACCCGTTATAAAAACAAGTGTCGTTGCTGTGGGTCTTTTCCTAATGTCTTTGATGAAATGATGCTCACGTGAATGACCTTCCTCTTTATGTTGCTTCTGTCACGAGGATTACAATGACACTGATATCGTCTGCGAAACGTCGTCTGAGAGGGAAAAAAAATTGCTAAACATACGTGTGCTTCATTCGAAAAAAAAGTAAATGAGAAAAATATGGTTTAAAGTGAAAGCTTACTAAAACATTTACAGAAGGAATGAGGAACGTTACTGCCAGGGTTGGCCCAGTAGGTTGAAATATTGTTTACAGAACTGTACTTTACATATGTCTACACAATGGTTTTCTTATTTATAGCAGTTACAGCTAATGTAGTGACGTTAAAATCAGATAGAGAGTATTAAAAATATTGCAAGACGCTAATGTTACTGATATATAAATCTAATATAAGAAATATGTTAAATAAAGTAGGCTTTTAGGCTAAGACAGTTCCGGTCACATGATATATTTTAAAAAATACGAAATTTAAAAAAATTCACAAGCTTCATGAAATATATTATAATTAGTCAAATGTTCCTTGGCTTATTAAATACCTTTCTGAGCTGTGAATAAAACGTATTTCTTAATCAGATGGGTTTAAAAAAATCATAAAGTTGTATGATTTATGCCAATTTGACCTAAAAAAAGAAGAGGAAAAAATCGAACTTAATCGTCATACAGAACTGGCATTTCGTTAAATACAAAATTTCGAATTTTAGTATTTGTATGAATATATTTTCCTGTATAACTATTTTCTCTCTTCCTCCGTTATTAAAAGCAGTTTCTAGATTTCTGACATTAGAAAAATTAATATGCATTCAAAAACCAGTTATGCACTGATCAGTCTCCTATGAAATCTGAACATCTTAGAAAGATTTATCGACAGAAAATTAGTTGTTCACTTAAAGAAGTTCAGTCTTAAACATTTGATTAATTTTAGTAGGCAAGTGACGAAATACCAGTTTTTGAACATTGCAAATATTAAATCAGCAGAACAAGCATTTAACAACAATCGATCAAGAACAAAAGATCAAGCATTCAACAGAAATGAATCAATCTGCACTTGTTTCTCCGATTGAGAAAAAATCTTTGACAAGTATGGCATGAAGGTAATAGTTTTTAAATGGTAAACGTTAAATATCTTCCAGCTCTAA